AAACTCACAGTTAACTTTAAGTTGCAGCGGTGGCGGCGGCTTCTAGCTTCGCTACGGCGAAGGCGTCCTGGATCGCGGAGAAGCCCGGGGCTCCGGAGGAGTTCTCACCTACATCGTCCACAAGGGACGACTCGGGAACTCAACTCCTACCTCGGGCAGCTCACCTATCCCCCTATGCCCAGGGGAAAGGTATCAGGCCATTTGACAGCTGATGCAGGCTGTCAAAACGGCTTTTACGCGGAAACAGGCGGGAGCAGCAAACAGCTGCGTCCAGCGAAGTCGCCTGCCACCGGAAGTCCCCTCAAATACATATTCATTATAATTCCATAACTACAGTTTACATTAAAATATTTGGAAAGATCCAAATTCCTGCCTTTTTCTCCCATTCCTTGAGTATATAGTTAATATAGCCAATAATGGGAAAATAGAAGACTTTTTTAAGAAGCAGAGATTTTTAGAGATGGTAAATCAAACTACCATCTCTAAATCCTAGCTTATCCAAACTAATCTCAAAATGCTACACCTGATAATGTCTGGTTAGGACTGGAATCAAGATCACCAAGATTTTTCAGAGCTGCAGACAAGATCGTTGTCATTGGTATGACAATAGTAATAAGCAATAACTATTAGCTATTCAGTTTGATCAAATATTTTCTGGCAAATTGTTCAAGGAATACTTCTTAGAATAAATCCTATGGCAAGTATATTTTCTGCATTTCCCAAGACTTATCCACAATTGCAACAGAAAAAAAGAAGGAAATCAATTTTCTTCTCAATAAATAAATATCTACTATTATAATTTCATAACTAAAATTACACTGAAATATTTGGAAAAGGAGAAAACAATTTCTGATCCAAATTACTTGAATATGCAGATAAAGATAACCAATAATCGGATCACAGAGGGACTGGGACTAGGAAGATAGAAGGCTTTTTAGGATCAGGAATTTTATCACTGAAATAAATCTAGGTCAACATACTTTGCAAGAGAACTGGTTAAAACTTCAATGTGGATTCTGTTAGATTTTCCATAACAAAATACTGTAAAGCTTATCTATATTTGTCTTTGGCTCAAAATTACTTAGGAGTGTGGCTGAAAAATTAATGTGACCAAAAAAGAGAATTGAAAAACACTTAAATTAAGGATTGTTTTATTCAGATCTGGTTTTAAATCTTTCATAAACTTTTTCCATCTTAGTTTATACAGAGAGATTTGGGACTGAAAATACTGAATATTGATGTTTAGAAATCTTGATGTATTTCTCTTTAAAAATTTATACATATTCATGCCCTAGTTTTCCCAAATTTTGTTTTCCTTTCAGTTTTATTTTTTCCTCTTATTTTAATTAATTTATTGATATGTGGCAGGTTCATTAGAAAAAGAAACAAGATTAGAGAAAAAGCTGCTGCCATTAACAGAAGACTTTGCCCATCCATCTTACAATGTAATATTTTTGCAACATCAATCAGTACTTTCAGTATCACATCTTATTATGAAATGTTCTTATTCCAAGCTATGTTGCTATGTTAGTTACAATGTCCACCAGCAGTTCTTCAGTTTTAGACAGAGTGATTTTCAAGACCAAGCGTTCATAAAATATCAGAATACAGAAATCCAAAAGATCTGGAGGGTCCTTAAGCAACTACACTAGACTTTAGCAGCTATAGTTCCTTCATGTAAATGTAAAGTTTAACACTTTACCAAATGATCTGCAAAGTCCTAATAAGTCCTTGACATAAGTTACATTGGCTGCAAAAGGGTTTCCTCACAGAACCCAACCTTCGTTATAATTTTGAATTGTTAATTATATTAGATATAATTTTAATTTATTATAATTCTATATATATACTGTATATATATATATATATCATCTAACTCTATTAACTCCTTCTTTGTATGTAAATAGATATAAAATTGTCACAGTGTCAATGCATATACAAACATATTCAGATAAATATGAGCAATATATAATGACTGATCTAGTGTAGTGATTAGTGTCAAAATGTGACTGCATAATCAAGTTTACAGCCATTTTAATAATGACCATTACTGGAACATCTTGCAGCAATCAATATGTGTCAGTTTAATCTATCTCAAAAAATGTACTGAGAGTAACAGCAGAACCATTATAAGAGACAAAATGACTGCAAATCAGATAAATGAGAACTTCCTTAGTATTAGAATAATAGCATTAGTATTAGTTCTAAGATCAGCCAATTATATGCCATAGTAACTTGCTAGGTCTTCATGTATCCATGCAAAAAGCCAAAGATAAGAGTTAATACTTGCTTTGATGATAAGGAGCTAAGAGCACAGTTCAGTTTAGATTCTTATTGGGAAGTTCTAATAAGACAAGGATTGGTTGGGAGTGATTGATATCAGTACCAAGGCCACATTGTATCAGAGGTTTTTCTGAAAGCAGTACTGTACTTGCAGAGGAAAAGAGAGGAAAAGGAGAAAATGCTTGAAATGGACTTAGCCATTCAAACTTTTCAAAATGTCTTTCAAAATCTGCACCGGGCAAAGAAATTAGGTAGTTGATTTCCCTGAGTTGTTCAGCATAAGGAAAAACTTCCAACAAATTATCAAGTGCATGATTATATCCCTTCATATAAAGATCAGTGCTAAAATGTCTAAAGGATTTTTCTCACGAGGGTTTCTCCTGGGAAATATGAAAAGCATAGAGCTACAGACCCATGGATATATCAAGTACTGAAGAGATGATTGCACAATGAAAGATAAAGTATTAACATACAGCCTTTGCCATCTCATAACTATATAAGTGCAAGAATACATTCCACTTCTAAGTGCTTATCAGAAATTATCTTTGGAAATGTTTTAAAAGATAATTATCTTAAATAAAATTAAATTAAAAATTAAATGAAAACTGGAAGAAAAAAAATTGCAGAATCCCTTGGTCTGGCACTAATTTAATACACTGTAGTTGTATTAAATGTATTAAAGTTGTATTTTGTGGTTGTTTCTCCATTCAACTACCTCATAATGTAAGCCAGAGAATACAAACTTTCCCCCACTAATAATGTGAAATGGCTTAACCCCAAGAATATAATGAAGAAGCAATTATTTTAAACTAAGAAAGATATTTAATAGAAAACATATTGTTTAAAAAACCAGAAAATGTCAGATACTTAAATATGAACGTTAACAAATGAACTCACGATCCTTTGCTAGGCAACAGTTTCTGTACTAACATGTTTCCTTTGTATGAACCAAGCTTTGTTACTGAGTACAATGGAACTTACAATTCATAATAAATGTTTAAATATGGTTTTATTTTCAAGGCTGGTGAAGCAGCTGGAGTAGCCATAGCCATGTTTCAAGAGTACTGTTATCATCACAAGTCACATCTTATATGAATAATTTAATAGCATGGTTTGATCTCTTCTTCTTCTCCTCCAATGCTTCTGTTTTTCTTCTAAAAGCTTTACAACTATACAATTATTTCTCAACATCTTTCTTGAATGTCCACAAATATGTTCGCTTTCAGATGAGTTCACATTTATTTAATTAAGGCCTAGACTTGTGCTATTCTTAAATAAAGCAGACATCACTCTCAGGCTTTCAAATAATTAATCAAAGTGGCCAATTTTATCTTAAATAATTAAAGGTTTCCTGGTTTATGGCAGCATTATTAACATGTGATTAATAAGCAGTTAATGAAAACCAGCTCCAGCAATACATTTATTAAGATACTTTATCTTAGTTCAAAGTTAGGTGACATTGTTTTAAACCACAGTTCAGAGGCCCTTTTCATTTAGCAATATATTCTTAAAAGTATTATCTCATCAAGCAGCTAATAGAATTCAAAACATATGGGGGCCCACTGGAAAATAAATGTGGCTTACTGTGTCTTGTTATTGCCAGTTAACCGCATTCTAAATGTAGTCCAAGTTAATCAAGATGAGCTTATTTTGTCTCCTTCATGGTTTTGGAAACAATAGAAAAACAAAATCAACTGTAGGTAATCCTAAAGTTCTATAAATATAGGTAAAATGTTTGGGAAAGTGGAATTCCGGTGCAATCCAATATATACACAAAATACTGTATCTATTGGGGGAATAAAATCATGATATGGGATCTTCCAAAAAGAGTTGTGAATGATTGGTAAAAGAGATAGAGTTTTCTACCTTGCATCATTTTGTTTCACTTTCACTCACTTCTACTAACAATAATAACACAAGATGACACTTACTTGAGGACCAGGTTGACCCTGTTGTAGAAAAGAGAGAGAAAAAGAAAGAACAATTTTAAACACCAAACCCATTTTTTTAAAAAAAAAGAAGTTAGAAGTTAGTGCAAGTTAGAAATGTACTGTGTGGAGGAAGAAGGTCATGTTATTTTCACAATGTGCTGCTAATGATCTATATAAAAGCATATTAATAAGGTAGCATTATTGTTTGATAATTAGATTTCAGTAGACCAGCTTCAAAGTAATCTCTATAAACCTTATCTGAAAACCAACAACAACAACCAAATCCTTAACTGCAAATACAATACAATAATTAACTTTCAAAGAAATTCCAGCCCTTGAGGGAGGTAGGAATATTAATTGGTTTTTCACTCTTTTGATCTAACAAATTGCTGGTAACGGTTTTTCTTAAACAGCTATTCCATCCTTCAGTTAATATTTTTCTCCATCAAAATTACGTTACATTCAAAATTAATTGTCTTTAAAGTGATAGTTTTTTTCCACAATAGTTCATTTTCTAATTTTTAAAATATGACTACTGTAAACACATAGAGTATGTTATTGAATTTGAACACTATACTGTTACCTTTATTTTATTTAGGTTATTTATAGGCTGTTCCAATCATAGTTAGGAATATTTGTTTATGTCAAGAAAGTGAGATTTTCAATACAAAAATCTCACTTTCTTGACATAAGCAAATATTCCTAACTATGATGACACTAAAATAATAAAATGTGTGTGGTGAAGACATACACACGTTTTGCATCATGAAGAACATCTTTCCCCCCCTTACCTGTGAATGCCCGTTTCTACCTTAATTTTAAAAATAGTGCTCAGGTAGAAGGAAACCATTTGCATAATTACACCAACTTTCCCAAAGCATCTGGATGGTCATAATTAGAGGAACTTTTCAGGCCAAGAATTTCATGTGACTCTTTTTGCATCAAAGATCTCATTGACATTCTTTAAAAACAATTTGATGGAGTCAGGATATGCATTTATTTCTTTTCATGAATATTTCTTCTGCTACACTCAAAATACTCAAAAAATGTTCTACATTGGTTATCTTTGAAAATCACACAGAGACTGCAACTGATAAAGAAGTTTCGTGTATGCTGGCAAATGAGAGCACTTCAGTCATGTGTCACTAACACTGGAAGCACCTCACTGGTTTCCAATAGGTTTCCAGGTCCAGTGCAAAGTCCTCTGCATGGTAGTTTCCTAGGTATTGCAGAACATCCTGACACATCTGGTTTACTTGTCTCATTGAGTATGTTAAGGTTTTCTGACTTACAAAAAATGAGGTATGTGGAGATTTAGAAGTGGCACAGGTTATAGTGATAAAAAAGTAACTTTATAATCAAACCTTGTGTTTATTACTTTTGCTGATCATAAACCCAGTTATGGTTTCATTTAGAGACCACTTCTCTTAACAATTGAGTCCCCACTCCCAATTATGGTTGCCAAACAAGGAATATCTGTATTTCTTCTGGTGACTATTTTACAAAATAATCTCTGATCTTGGAGATCAGACTGGACTAATTCTATTCTGGTGACCCTCGGAAATCTGCTAAGCCAAAGTTATTCCAGAGGGCTCCTGAGAGTTGATATTGCCCAGTGCTACAATATTTAAAATTATTTACATTAATATTTTATTAGGAACTTGTATTATAACTTTTCAACTTCAATGTATTTTTGATTATGATTGTAAATCTCCAATAGTTCAATGATTTGGAAAATATATAAAGGAAATAAGTGAGCAAACAAATATTCCAAACATGACCTGGATGACTGAGAATCTCCATAGACATTGAGCAAACAAGTAGAGAATTTAATAAATAAATTAAGTATTAAATAAATAATTTAATAAAAACTGTATGTTTTATTAGGGATCTCTAAGAGATACTTACAATTTCTCAAGAATGCGTACAGCCATCCATATCTAGTCATCCATTTTCCTATTCATTCTTTCCTTAAAAACTTGCATAATTACCAATACTTTCATGCAAATATCATTTTACTTAACACTGATCAACCCAAAGCTTCTTATTAAATTAAAGTTTTTTAAATAAGTGTTCCAAGGGTTATGCTTCAGTTTTTAAAAATCATACATGTGCACTGAGGCTTGTTTCCATTAGAGTACAGCCATAATAACTTTTCTTCAATTGACAGAGGTTGTTTTCATATCTCTGACAGGAGAATTATTTTAAGCTCTATCATTCCTTTAGTTGTAATATACACAGGAAAATATAGTTAGTGTAAGCTAAGAGAAAAATGGAAAATACCCAGTGTTACTTGGGAAAAATAAGTGGGATTTCTTATCACAATCAATTAGCATTGAGAAAACAGAAAACTTTTAAATCCTTAGAAAAGTACTGAAACCTTAAAACAATCGGATTTCATTATAATGTTTAAGAATTCACTTAAAGCTCCAGAAAATCTTTTACTGAGGTGAAAACTGCTATGAAACTGTTTCAGTGATCCCAAAAGACTCCATAGAATGTAATCCATAGGTTACATTATATAAAAGTTAATATAAAATTCTATCTCAATTCAGAATGCATTGAATGTGCTAAATGATATTTAAACGTTTACTAGCATGTATTGTATAGTGAAGACCTAAAATTAGGACATGCACATTGTCAGGTGGCATTAGAGACATATGGTACATCAATAGTGGGTGTATTTCTTGACTGTAAAGACTATAATGAGATCAAATAGTTTATCTTCTGAAATATTTTGAAAAGGAGCTATAATGAGAAAGATACTTTTTTCAAGGCAAGGAGTAATCAGTAATCAGTGTGTGTTAACTGAGTGGGAGTCTCCTCTAAACCACACCATAAATAATTAGTGGAAATATTGAATGACAATGTACAATAGAGTTCTTTTTCCAAGATTAGTCAAAAAGAATGCTATCCATAGCAATGGAACTCCAAAAGGAAGACAATTCATTGAAGAGGGATAACAGGAAGAAGAGGAAAAGTGGCAAATATTTAGTAAAATGTAGAAGATTTCAAAGCACAGAAGCACCACAGTAAGCAAACATTCATCCTCAAATGCAAGCATCATGAAAACATCCACCTCTAGCATTTTTCCACATTCTCCAAAAACGGTACTGCAGATTAAAAATGTCAAAAAATCACTGGAGTGTTACTACGTCTGGCTAGCATTTCCATAACACCATTTATTGCACCAAATACAATAATATCTAAACAACTATTTAATCCTTTCTCTTACCACAGATATGAGCTGTAGTATTTCTCTCTCTTGTTTTTCCAATGTTGAAAGCATGATAAAGGTAATAATAATAATAATAATAATAATAATAATAATAATAATAATAATAATAATAATAATAATAATAATAATAATAATAAAGTTGGAAGGGACCTTGGAGGTCATCTAGTCCAACCCCCTGCTCAGGCAGGAAACCCTACACCATTTCAGACAAATGGCTGTCCAGTCTCTTCTTAAAAATTTCCAGTGTTGGAGCATTCACCGCTTCTGGAGGCAGGTTGTTCCACTGGTTAATTGTTCTGTTTCTCCTTAGTTCTAGGTTGTTTCTCTCCTTGGTTAGTTTCCATCTGTTGCTTCTTGTCCTGCCTTCAGGCGTTTTGGAAGTTTTTTAATTGCAGTTTTTAATCTGTCTAATGTCAAACGTTTTTATGTACCCTTGTTTTGAATGTACTACTCAGAAGCATTCTTATACATGAGGGGTTTGGTGAATTGGGGAGGTGTTTTTCTCATTTTATTAATTCCATAAAAAATATTCCTATAAATTCACCATCACTGGGACACAGGGTTACCTAGTTATTTTAATGCACCAGTGTTTCTCAAAGAGAAGATCTTTAAGGGCAAATAATGTTGAAATATTTATAATTAACATACAGAGAATTTCTCATTACAATCTATCTATTAATAAAAAGTGCCTAGGGAACTGTGTATATGTGTATAATATGTGTGTAATGGCATCATAATTGTCTACTTTTTTGAGTGGGTATAAGATTAACACCCCTGATAATTATATTCACAGATTTTCTTCTACAACTGGGACTGGAATTCAAAAGCATTCCAAAACTCACAAAGCATTTCTGACAACATAGGCAGAGATGACACAAAGAAAATGTGCTCCAAGCCTTTCTATTAAATCTGACCTTGAACTGAGACTAGACTTCTTTCAAAACATGTCTCTAAATTTGGATGTAGAACACTTGAAAATCAGGGCAGAGGGATTTTAGAAAACCTGCCTCATATACACAAATACAATAATGCAACCTTGGCTGCAATTTTAAGTTTATTTAGTAGAAAATACAAACGAAGCTTTATAGATTATTTGAATGCAGTCTGTTTATAAGTATGGGCAACCATAGAAGCAAAAATGGAAGATGCACTCTGGGTTTTTGGATGGGGGAAAAAGGATTATTTTATATAAATATTTACTACAGAAACATTTTGTATGGTGAAATATACACTTGCCCACTTATCTGGGTATAAGTCTCAAATTAATTTTTATATTTTATCTAATATTTGTTAACATCTTGATTTTTAAAAAGCAAAAAAGCAACAGAGCTCAAGACAGGATAACACCTATAAAAAATAACCAAGGAACTAACCAAGCAGAAGCGATAACAAAATAAGTTGTCTCCGAATAGACTGCAATTGTCTTCATTGTTGCCAATCTTTATGGTACAGGAGTAAAGTAAGTATGAAATAAACAGTGATAATGAAGAGGTACTGAAATGTGAAATTCCTTCAGATGTCACCATGAAGAGAAAGAAAATGAATCCACAGTTTATAAAGATGCTCAGGAGACAAATTATATTAATAAAGGAATTAGATGTACAAGAAATACTAATGATAGTTCCTTGATAGTTCCAATCTTTCTTTATAAATTCATCAAGATCACAGTTAAAATCCCAGGATAACAGGTGATAGTATGTCTGGACAATGGTCTCACAGAAATGATCTCATAGAATAACAGAAGTGGAAGGGACCTTGTGTTCATCTGGTCCAACCCCCT